ATTCTTTCAAAAGATACCTTAAAGCGTAAAATTTGAATAGTAGTTTTTCAAAAGTTAAGTATACATTTTTTTTAAACTACGCTCTAGTAACTTAATAAGAAACAAGTCAAGGAAATATTCTGTACATAATAGTAATACAACATATAAATGTTGAGAGTAATATTTCGTGATATGCATCAATTAGTGATAAGCAAAGTTGAACATAGTTACGTATGAATTAAATCAGGCTGCTAATATATCACACATTAGTTCATTATGAAGAAAGAACTAATCTAAATACTTAAGTAATAGTCATAATAATATTAGTGATGTAAAACTCAAGAATAAATAGTAAGATAAAGAGTGAATGCATCTATCCCATTGCAACCAATTCTGAAACATGTCAGTATCGTTTAAAACCATTCTTCACGAAAATTATACTCATTCTAATCATGTAGTCTTTACCTGCTTACCAACAAGTCTCAATCAGACAGTTATTGTTTCCAATAAACCTATGATCAAATGATAGGAACGTACAAATCTCCTCAAATTTAAATGTAATATTTCACACTTGTGTAATGAAACATTGAAATACTGTGCAGTATACACTCGTCTTCATTGACAGATGGGCAATTCGCCTACATACGGATGTCATAAGTTTTCATAAACAGAAAAGCCTATCTTTAATACGTGCCAAAATCTCGTCAGAAATAAACTCATCAACGACGTTGAGACTTCCAAGATAAGTAAAATGATTGATGCACTCAACTAATTTCCTATCTATAACCGTCCAGTCGTTGACTTTTGTCAACAGTTTTGAATGTATTGGCTTCATAAATTTCATCCTTTATCACTGGTGACGATGATGGAGTTTGATATGAGGGCGGGGGTAACCACCTTCCGTTATGGGAAGAAAGCTTTATTAAAAATGGTGGTTGCCCGAGGGCAGTACTACTCTACCCTCAGACTTTAAATTTCTGCTTTTAGACTTCCTGTTCTCCAACTGACTTGTATGATAGAACCTAAATGAATGAGTGTCCCAAGTAATATAGCTCGATGGGGTGATCATGGCAGATAAGAGTGACCATAACACCAAGGTATCAGACACGCTTGGGTATATATATATATATATATATATATATATATATATACATATATAGATAGATAGATAGATAGATAGATAGATAGATAGATAGATAGATAGATAGATAGATAGATAGATAGATAGATAGATAGATAGATAGATAGATAGATAGATAGATAGATAGATAGATAGATAGATAGATAGATAGATAGATAGATAGATAGATAGATAGATAGATAGATAGATAGATAGATAGATAGATAGATAGATAGATAGATAGATAGATAGATAGATAGATAGATAGATAGATAGATAGATAGATAGATAGATAGATAGATTAGATAGATAGATAGATAGATAGATAGATAGATAGATAGATAGATAGATAGATAGATAGATAGATAGATAGATAGATAGATAGATAGATAGATAGATAGATAGATAGATAGATAGATAGATAGATAGATAGATAGATAGATAGATAGATAGATAGATAGATAGATAGATAGATAGATAGATAGATAGATAGATAGATAGATAGATAGATAGATAGATAGATAGATAGATAGATAGATAGATAGATAGATAGATAGATAGATAGATAGATAGATAGATAGATAGATAGATAGATAGATAGATAGATAGATAGATAGATAGATAGATAGATAGATAGATAGATAGATAGATAGATAGATAGATAGATAGATAGATAGATAGATAGATAGATAGATAGATAGATAGATAGATAGATAGATAGATAGATAGATAGATAGATATTGCGACTTGGTCGATAAAATTCGATCTGCACCAAGAAGGACCTGACATGCATGACATTGATCACCGCTCAGTGATCAATCAATTGCAGATACATCTCAGTCCTACAGGAGGTTAGTCGTGATCCAGATAGCCCTTTGATAACGTCTCTGTTTGTGAAGCTGGGTGATACGGGATCTAACCCATCAGGGAGCATCAGTTTCCTTAAGATTACAAGTACACCATGCTGGCGAGTGCCAAGTAGCACAAAGCCTAATTCTAGGGTTTTCTGTTGACTACCTCCAACCATCATCATATAAAGCATTTAATCATAAACGATTGTATTGTTGCGTAATAAAGTAACACGAGTCGATGTTTTTAATAAAGGTTACAGATACACATTATCAATGGATGCCAGTACACTAAAAGAACTTACAGTTGGATTTATCTATCAACTATGTTGATGTATCAAATATCAACTATTCCCTAAGCATGTTCATTTCCCTATAGTACTCCACAATGATTTTTTAAAAAAAACACATAAACGTTCAATACTGCAATGTAATACTAGTGAAAAAGTAACTTGTAAAATGGCCTAGTAATGCATGAATAAATACTAACATAATTTAACCATCACTAAATGTAACATGTATCTAACCAAAGTTTTTCTATTAACTATATATCATATTTTCACTTGATTATAGCAACAATAAAAAGAAAGGATATTGTGTGGGAATATGATTATACTTGTATATTGATCAGTAAACACATTTGTGTATTCTGGCCATGTAAGACTTTTTTGGTTTTTTTCACAAAACAATCACTAAATGCATAGATACCGAAACATAGAATAACTGATCCTTATATTTATTCATCTACATAGATATTAAATAAAGTAACAAATATGATTAGAAATAACTTAGTGAAGTAATTATTCTATAGTATGTATATTGTAAGTCATTAGCTAACCAACGATATTGTGAAATCTGTTAGATCCCGATAAGAATAATGAGTGGTAATTTTGGGGATCCATAATTGTTAAATAACTAAACTGTTCATATTCATGTTCCTCTTATTATAAGCTTTATTTTGACCTATAAACCATTATTATACGATTTACCATTCTTGAATTATGCCTTGTCTATTAATTACTACCTTCCCCATTCACAGCCACATTTGCCCAAATCTTGTACAAATGTTGTTTCGAATTTTATTGGTAAGATGTAGTCTGTCTGGTTGGTATATAAACTGAGTATGTTTGAAATACATGATTCATATTGCAGTGGCTGAGATTGGTGTTCTAAACTTAACTGTCTGGGCTAGGTAGGAAGCAGAACTGTTAAATACTCTAGACTGCTCGTACGGGTTTTTTTTGTGCGTCTTTGGACCGATCGATAATTCACTGCTCTCTAATTGGCGGTATCGTTCAGTTATACAAACAACAGGGCACACAGGCCACAAGTTATAACAAAATCAGACTATCAAGTTTAATCGTATCACAGTTAGTTACATTATTTCTTGAAAAAAAATTGCACATTCTGTCTAAGTATATACCTGTTTTTATGAAGTAAAATCAACCATCTATCAAATCAGTTTTAACAGCTGATATGGTACATATATGTAACTAATCATACAATGGAAAGAAACAAATCAATGAATTATGAATTAGTTATTAGCTTTTATTTTCAACATGACAATACTTTTGAAATACTTGGTAACACAATTCTGTGTGTACAGTCACAGATTGATAATTGATTAGCAAGATACGTGCCATATGAGAAGTAAAAACAGAACATTGGAATGTCAGAATGAACAGTTTCACAGTATTTGGACACCGAGTTGATATGAGATATTAAAGAGGAAGAATGTATTGAAGGAATTTTTCCTTGAAAAAGCTTAAACCAGATTACTAGGCGAAACGTGAGATTTACTTCAATATCATTCGCTGACATTTAATAAATACATTCTTTCTCGTCATACTGAATAGTTTAAATTAACAAAGCGAAGCAAGGACCGCTTTCCTTCATTTAAAGAATATATGGAACTCAAAACAACTTTCAACAAATATCAAAGTCACAATCTTCAATACAAACGTCAAGAAATTTCTACTGTACGGAGCTGAAGCGTGGAGAACTATTACAACCATCATCAATAAGGTGCAAGTATTTATAAATAGTTGTCTACGCAAGATACTCAACATCCATTGGCCGGATACTATCAGCAACAGCCTACTGCGGAACGAAATAAACTAGCTTCCAACCGAAGAGTAAATTAGGGAAAGACGATGGAAATGGATAGGATATACATTACTCAAATCATCAAACTGCATCACAGGGCAAGCCCTAACTTGGAATCCTGAAGAGAAGTAGAAAAGAGGAAGGCCAAATAACACATAGAATCTGATATGAAAAGGATGATTAACAACTGGAATGAGCTGGAAAGGATTGCCCAGGACAGGGTTGAATGGAGAATGCTGGTGAGCGGCCTATGCTCCATATATTAAATCGTTAATTTGCAAATTGTTCATCAATTGTCTCAAATAACTCAGAATCTCTTTGTTCTTGCATTTTCATACAAATTGCATTCTTTTTTCATTCTTTTTTGTTCGATCTTCTCATCTCTCTGCTGCCAGACATTCTGTTCAATACTCACGTCATATACTACTTATGTCCACATAAGTAGCACACGCCACACAATTAATTCATGATCTGAACTATTGAAATTACTATAATATCCACAAAAATTCTCCTGATATTAATCAACATATGCTCGCTATTGACTAGCTTCAAGAGATATTACCTGGAGTGAGAAGACGTGACCAGCGGAGTTCAATGTGTGCCGAGTGTGAGACAGTTATCTACCTCAGACAAATGATGAAGAGCTGCCCAAGATCATAGATCAATTGAAGTTAGAAATTAACACCATTGGATGCCGGCCGGTTCAGTGGTCTAGTGGTTAAGCGTTCGAGCGCAAGAATGATAAGTTCTGTGTTCAAATCTCATATGCCAGGATCGTGAATGTGTACTCCTAAGGAGTCTCACAATAGGACGAAACTGGCCGTCCAATGCTTTCAGTTTTTCTATGCTGATTTAAACTATTGAAATTAAATCAATTGTCTCAAATAGTAAAATTTATCATTGAACTAAATAAATAAATAAATAAAAGAAAAAAATAGTAAAATTATTGAATTTCTTTTCTTTTATTTTCTTTTTTAATAAAATATGGCTTAGTTCTGAGAGGCAATGAAAACATAGAGACAAAATAAAAAAGAAGAAACATAAAATTCTTCACAAATACAACAATAAAACAATCTTTGTAATGAAAATAACATAGAACATTGTAACTAAGACATAGTAACAATAATAATAATAATAATCGATTAAATGTTTTTTTTTACAGAAATCTTTGTTTTTCTCTCGAAAAACCAATATCATATTAAGGTGTTTAGTCTGTTCTTATTATCAGTAATATTAATATTAAACCGTATTAATAAACCCTTACTATTATTATTATCAATATTATTATCATTATTATATAAAGGACAAACAAGATTACGTAACAGCTTGTTTTTTTCTTTGTATTCATAAAATAGGAAAAGAAAAGAAAAGAGAGGAAAGTTAAGAAAAGGAAGAATGAAAAAAAAGAAAGAAAATTAAAGTTAACTAATAAGCAAAATTGAAATTATCCATCAAGTAACTAACAAGAACTTATTCATATATATATATATAGGGGGGGGAGAGAGAGAAAGAGAGAGAAATGATCCATTGAAAAATTCCATTAGCTTGAATCGATTATCAAAAATAATATAGATGTTAATAAATGAATAAATAAATAAATAAGAAGATAACAGTTTCATATTATCTATGCAATTAAGATGATCATATCATTTGGACAATTGTCATTAGACAAGATATTAACCTTTTAATTAACCTAGAAACAAGATATTAATGATTGAAATGGTGAATATTTATGTAAATGTTATATGAATTATAAGATCAAGATTAATCTATAATTAACAAGAACAACAACAACAACAACAACAACAAAGAGAAAGGAAAAGAAAAAAAGAAAAAGAAAGAAGCTGAAATAGATAAATCGTTAAAATTATGTTATGAACCATTGTTATCATATAAATAATAAACAATAAGCAATGAATAGAGATATGTTACTAGTAGAGAATTATGTAATTAATTATTTTAAAGTAAACTGGTTTTTTTTTCTTTAATCTTATCTAAATAAAAGATGCTCGAAAGACATGCGGTTTATTAATCCACAGCATTTAAAATCATACAAAGGCTTATGTTGTGTACTTTTGTGTGTGTGTGTGTATATGTGTGTGAACATGAACAGTAAATGTAGTTTTGAATAAGCTATTCATAGAATTAAAATAATAATGAAAAGAATAATATTTAATTCAATCTTGTACTTTAACAATATTTTGGGATTGATTATTAAAATTAGTAAAATTAGATGGATTATCTGTTTCTTCTGTGTTTGCTACTTCTTCGTCTTCGTCTTTTTCTTCTTCACCATCTTCTTCATCTTCTGAACCAGTAGGTAAAAGAAAATCTCTTGAAGGTGAAGCAGATGAAGCACGAAGTCGATGTTTTATACGTTTACGATTACGTTTACCTAAATTAGAATTGAATGTAACTCGTAGATTTTGTGTATTAATTTTGGAAATTCTTCTTGCTTGAGGTGTTGAAAACTAGAAAACCGTAATGAAATGAAAAGTAATTAGTTAGTAATTTGAATATAATATAAATAAATAAATAAATATTCATTCATGTATTGTTTTCAAAGTACGTTTTCGTAAAAGAAACATGTAAAACCCATAATTGATATACGGACACAAAACACCTGTACATAATGTTTGCACCAAACTTGAATGATGGAAAATCAGTGGATGAGGTTGGATTTCTTCATCGACTGAAATGGTTGGGCCACGTGTTACGTATGACTGAACACAGATTACCACGACGCACAATGCTGACTAGTGTACGGGATGGTTGGAAGATAGTTAGGGGAGGCCAAACCGAAATGTGGCATCAGTCCACAAAGTCACTAAATTCTGATCTTAGCCATGTTGATAGATGCACACTACTTGGTTGGGGTCCGCGTGACTATCATAACCAATGGTTAGTGACTCTGGTTGACGTGGCTCAGAATCGATCACAATGGCATCGGTGTATACACTCTTTGTCTTCCCCTAATCTATGAAATTAAAATCGCTTCATATCTTTATTTCTACTAACTAATTCTTTCTTCCTGTACTATGTCCTTATATGCAATCTTTCTTTTACATATTACCACTGTTGAATTAACTACTTGTATGAATCCGGTGTTCATCTTGTTGTGTTAATGAGGTATGGAAACTTGAACCGATGCATATATGTACCTGATCCTACGTTGCGGCTGACTGACTGTACCAAAGTTGCTGTACACAATATCAAGACTTAGTTTCATACTTACTTATTGGGATAAAATGGAACTAAAGAAATACTAATATATATTGAGATTTAAAGTCATAGTGTACTACTAAACACTATATTTTACCGGTTCCAAATAGTGTCTAACGAAATCTTGACAGGAATTGAGAAAGCCCAGTTGGTTTTGCCAAATTGCTTCACTTGAAGAGTAAGCAAGATATCTGTCTGCCAACAAGATAACTAGTATACCGTGCAGTAGTTCACACCGTTCAAACTGATTGTGAAGTGACACCTTTAAAAATAGAGGATACTAGTAGGTTACTTGTATTTGACTACAGGTGTCTCTGGGTCACTGTTAGTATATTTTGGGACCGTGCATTGGCAATCCTGAGGTTAGAAGCAGATTACTAGGTGAAAATGACAAGTCGATTGACAAATTAATGAATCTTTATCAACTGAGACGGTTAGGATATGGAATATGTAAGCTCGTCCACCAATTACCAACTACCCAAGAAAAGTTGGGATGGCCGTGCCAAGAAATGATATCAGTCCATGAGGACACTGACTATTGAAGTGAGCAATGTAGATAGGTGCACGATCGTCTTAACCCATTGTAAGAAACTGAACGACAAGGCTCATTATTCTTCCTTTGATCCTGTTTCTAAATTCCCCATAAATTTTATGTCCATCAGTTTACACGGACGTCTAATCTTCTTTATTACTATTAATAATGTTATTACCTTTACTTCTCTGGGATTTGCATTGACAATTTCATCTCTCTGTGTTAATGCAGTATTGCAGCTACGACTGATGTACCAGTTTCTACGTTGCGTTTGACTGACTGAATGTCATACATTGACATATAAAACGAAACCAATAAAATATTTCAAAACCACGGCCAATTTACATTGATTAACCACCTCTCAGTTATTGGTGTCATGTTTATCGAATCCTTTCTATCAACCAAGTTATTATACGACCAGTAGTTCAAGTGGTTCAACACTGTATAGACTATTTTTGGAGTTTATATGGTGGAAGGAGGCCTTAGGCATGGATGTCTTACCATCTGAAATTAGTCAGCAAGTCGTATCTACAAGTTTGAGGACTTGCAACAACCATGAGATTCGGAACTGAATCACTTTAGAGTTGTAATATGAGGAATCATAAGAGAGCTATCCGGCTCGTAATTTATTGCTTGTAGGACTGATAAATTTACACTAGTTGATAAAATCTAATCTTATCAATAATCAAACGGGAATGCAGTTGACTTTTTCCCGATTGCCTTCAATCAACAAACATTAGTTTGTGAAACAAATTCCATGGATGTATTAAATTATTGTCAAACTCGGTATTAAGTTTTCATCCTAGTTAGAACTCAACGCTAGTTCAAATTTCATGAGGAGTATAACGTCTGTTAATATTGCAAATATACCCAATTCGTGAGCTTCAGGTTGACTTAAACAGTCATTTAACAATTGGGAAATTTCCAAACCGGTAATTCAAGTCACCCTATTTCATGGTATCACAACTAGTTGAAAACTGAAAGCAAGTAAATCTAAGCATGCGAATCAAAATTTAAACAAAAAGGAAAGTCAAAAGATTAGTGAGCTTATAACCGATTTTAAATCATAATCACTTAGTTACAAACTACTGATTTTATCTATTCTCACTATATAATCGTGAAGCTTTCAACAATCTAATCATCTCTAACAAATAGTAGCCCTTTATTTTCTTAGTAAACTTAAACCCAACATGGTCCTATCATTACATGATAATGATGATTTATTGTATATTAGTGAGTCAACAAAGAATCCTTTCCAGCGGTCTATGGACAAACTCAATAGAACGGAACGATTTATAAATGGCTAGTGATTCATGATGAACAGGCATTTGTTGCAAGGATATCACCTTATCGGTTGTGGGTTAACTATACTCAAGAATCGTTGAATATGGAAGACATAAGTTAATCAAACTATTTGTTGTAGATTCTCAAACAAGCATAATCAATCATTAGAGCTCTTCGGAAAATACTATACAATTGTGCTGTCATTCAGTCATATACAACATTGAACCTAATACATATGTTCATCGGTTAAAGTTGTCACACTACATCAACGAAATGAGACAAAACTATTTCAAGATAAATTCCAGAGTAGTAGTAACAGTAGTAGTGGTAGAAAAGATTAGGTTTAGAAAAATAAATAAGATTAATAAAAAAGCTACAAACTTAAGACTATTTCATCATCGTTTGTATCACTGTTATAATTAATACTACTATTATAAGTAATATTGGAAGTAATGTAATGAATGGAAACACAGATGGGTACAACCAAATGTATTTGAATACAAAATTACAGAACAACTTAGTAAAATCTGAGAACCATACAGTAAATACTTCATTTGCAAAATGTTAATCGATTGTCTTAGACTTGACTGCTCTTTCATTTCCACATCAATCATTCTATGTTCTCATTCTCTTTTCATCGATCTTCTTAACCTTCTACCGCCAGGCATTTTACTTACAATTAATAATACATACTACTTATATCTGTCGATATCAGTAACACACATCATAATAGCAATTATTGTACATCAAAGTGTAGCACGAAAAGGTAATAAAAAACAATCATTTACATTTTACTTCTTCCTTTTAAATGTTATATCTTAAGGTAATTCATATCATAATTATGTCTCATTCAACGTTTAATAAATATTTTGATAAAAATGTTTCAATTGAGATCATGAACTCATTGATGTTAGATTACCATTGAAAACCTAGAAGCACTGGACAGTCGGTTCGCCCTATTATGGGACTAGAGGTAAAAAGTTCGCGCGCAAGACTGAAGGCCCTGGGTTCGAATCCAGCGAGCGCATTACTGAGGAGTCCCACAATAGGACGAAACAACCGTCTAATGCTTCCAGGTTTTCCATGGTGGTCTAACATCAATCAGTTCATGATCTCAATCAAAAACTTAATAATCTCCACAACCTCATACTTATAGAAAAAAATGTTTTATTTAATGTAATATTAAACAATATATGTTTATAAGAAGGTATACTATTGGTAACTAATCGAAAAAACGGCAACATAATGTATCGATTCTTTATTATTTTTCTTTTTTTTTTTAAAATGTATATATAAAAGTATCATATGATCTAGTTTAAAATATGAAGTAAAACAAAAAAATTCGGAACTTTAAATAAACCACATGTAAAACTGTGTAACCATGACTTATAACTAATCTGATTATGTTAGAAATGAAAAGAGAGAGGGGGGGGAGAAACAGTAATTAAACAAGTTGGCTTGATATTTCATTGAGACACAAATAGACAATGAAAAACAAAAAAAGGCCGATTGTAAATGTGAATGTGTGCTGTATAATTTTTTTGAAAAGAAAAATATCCTATTTATCCATGCTTATTAACCATGCACAGATTTGTATTTGAGGCTTTACAACTTTTGTGTATACTAATCAATTATTAAAAAGCTCTTCAAACAGGTAAATCCATTAGTTATTAACTTAATGGATTAGTACTAGGAAAAGGTGGCGAGTTGGTTGATGAGGTAGTAGATCCTTATCAACTGAAATGATTAGAACATGTATTATATATGCTCAGTCACTTTGATTAGCGATGATTGTTTGGTGCAGAAGTACGATAGAAGAAGGCTGTGGTGGTCATACTAAAATGTGGGCATTAATTCATGAAGGTATTGATTGTTAGAAACATGTCTCAAACATTCTTCTATTGTTAATCAACAGTTCGGTGGAAAATCTTGGTGGGCGGTCTATGCTCCTTCGCGAGGGGTAACAGGCGTAAGTAAATATTTTAAAGTACACAAATGGTATCAAATTTTAGTTCAATAAAACTGACTTTTGACAGTTAGTTTTTCGATGGTGGATTCGAAAATAATTCTACTGAATTGTGTCTGATTAGATAAGCAAGCATTGGTAGGCAATAAATACCACGTAAATTATATATTTGAGCTTAAATCAAACCGTATAAGCCACTTAAAACATACTTCATTTATTTATGTATTAGTACAGATAATGTATTGTAAGGTGCTAACTATAAATTTGTACTTTTAAAAATTGTCATTTTAATCAATAGATTTTACCTATTCTGATGTACCTAGTTGAAACCTGTGATAAAAATTAGTATGAGGAAACAGATTTCACATCAACATTGTGATAATTTACAATTGACCGATCGCTGAGTAGTGACCAATGTCATGTATGTCAGATCCTTCTTGGTGTAGACTGAATTCTATCAATCAAATTGCAACGTGCACACTAGTCTAGGTGACTCCACATTGCATGAACTATGTAGAGGTGTGAGGTAATGGTGGATCTCCTGTTGACTACTTCCAACCATCACCTTACTAATTTTGGCCAGTATGCTGGTCAACTCGAATATTACCCAGCAGTGTGAAAATATCTTCCGTTCCGATTTTAGGTCTCACAAAATTGCTCAGTTTTGATCTGACAGGTAAACTAAACTTAAGTCAGATGCTCTATTCCAAATTTTTATGATCAATAAACACAAAAAGTTGAATAATACAATGAATTATTTTTAGTATGGGGATTGGTGGATATTGCTGAATGTCAAACCAGGAGAGAGTGGACAGCTGTTCTGCCCCCCGGATGGGACTCCTCAATAGTGTGTATCTATAATGCTTCCAGAGATCAAACACGGGACCTTTGGGTCTCACTTGATTCTTCGAATGAAATATTTTGTGTTTTCTTTATATTCCATTGAAAAGGATAATAATTTCATTCTCGTTCTATCTACTATTCATCTTAAAAATGATCTATTTGGTTGTGTTAATTGTTAAGTGTGAAAAAATTGAGGTAATATATAATCCCGTAAGATTTTGAAATGATCCGTAATTGACTCATTTACTAATTGATGTATGTATACCATAGAAATGTAAACATTGGTACAAGAAGGCACCAAACAGATATGCGACACATGAATCATTCGATTTGTATGAGGGCTAAGATACTACCGGAGTATCTAAACCGAAGCAGGTGGTTTTCTTAGGGGGCCATAACCGGAGCCTGTGACCTCAAGGTCTGATCTATAAGGCGGTAAAGCAACATAAGGAGATGCAGTCTCATGGCAGCAGGTGACCAACGATTGGTTCATACGACATTTGTTCCCTCAGGGTAAGAACGAGAAGAAAACTGTATGACCTTGGGGTGGGAGTAAAATAGATGAACATTTAAGTCACTATTCAGTAATCTAAATTTCCAATTAATTAACGATGTACATCTTTATATATGTCTAATTCACTTCTAGGTTGCTTTACATTTACAAACATTCCATGGAACTTAGAAAAACTACCTTGAGTAATAGTTAGTACTTAATAACGTTTACACAGTCCTCTCGAATTTCCAATGTTGCTGTATCAACTTCAATCGCTTGATGAGGTTGTGAGTCTTCATCGACTAAGATGTTTGAGCCACGTGTTCCGTATGGCTGAACACCGATTACCACGGCGCACAATGCTGACTAGTGTACGGGATGGTTGGAAGATAGTTATGGGCGGTCAGACAAAAACGTGGCATCAGTTCACAAAGTCACTAAGTTCTGGTCTGAACCACGTTAGTAGATGCACACTACTTGGTTGGGGTCCGCATGACTATCATAACCAATGATTGGAGACTCTGGTTGACATGGTTCAGAATCGATCACAATGGCATCGGTGTATACACTCTTTACCTTCCCCTAAACTACGAGATTAAAATCGCTTCATATCTTTCTTTCTACCAACTAATTCTTTCTTCCTGTACTATGTCCTTATATGCAATCTTTCTTTTATATATTACCACTGGTGTTCATCTTGTTGTGTTAATGAGGTATGGAAACTTGGACCGATGCATATATGTGCCTGGTCCTACGTTGTAACTGACTGACTGATATCGAGCCTAAAACAGTAATAAGCCTCTTTATGATACAAAGCTTAGAAACAACAAAACAAAACTAAGGGAATGAAAGACAATAAGCTTTTCCACGAAAGAACAAAGATAAGTGAAAAGTGAAAGATAAAACAAATTGGTTGCTACGAATGATTTGTAAAATAATGATCATATAAATTATGAATATTAAACGTTGATGAATTTTCAGCTGTTTTATGACAACAGCTAATTAATCATCGATATTTCAACTTTTCCCTAATTACTGCTAACTGATTAAGTATATGGGGGATAAATAAAACGTGAAGAAGCAACATATTAGTACAACTAAGCTTTCTATGAACAAAAAAATATATGATCCTTAGTTTTAACTTTCTAAATTCTTTGTATGCTACTAATCAGTAGGAAACATAAAGTCAACATATGCAATATCGTATCTATTAAGAGAAAGTATCAATTAAATAAAGATATCTAAACTAACGCAGTTAAATGCACTAAATTGCAAGTCGTATATATAATACATACATTACATTAAGAAAAACAAACAACTGAAGTCAAATAAATATTAACTTACCTGAGATAACTTTCTTAAGCATAAATCATCCACTGGTCTATGATTATTCCCATTGTTAAAGTTGATATCTTCAAAAATATCATATGCATCTGTTTCCAAACAACTATATTCAGAGTTGTTATTATTATCCACAGCATTATTATTTTGATCTTTATGAGATAGTTTAATTGTAATAGGAGTTATTGACTTTGATTTGGTAAAATGATCATCTTCTTTACGATTATTATTATTATTATTATTATTATTATTATTATTGTTAGTGCCAGTGACTATTCTAGTTTTGTTATCTGTATTATTATGAATACGTGTATTACTTTTATCAATATTAGTGACAATCACATTATCCGGTATTAAATTATCAACGTGTCTAATATCACTATCACTGTTGTTATTATCTGTAGAACAAACAAGATTTAAATGTCCTACATTCTCTGTTGCTGATATTGATGTGCAAGTATGAGAATAATCACTGACACGTCCAGAATCAGATAAATCTAATAAATATTTATCATGACCATCATTGTTAGATGTCAATGGTGGTGGAATACGAAAGGCCCAACCCGTTGCATTTAATGATGAACTTAATCGATATGATAAGGACGTTGAATCATTTGACATAAGAGAAAATGATGACTGATGAACCTGAGTTGAGGATGAAGGAGATGTACTCAAATGATAATGAAGTTGGTGATGATGATGGTGTAGAGAAGGAGGAGGATGTGAATGGTGATGATGATGCACGAAATCTGTGCATGTTTCTTCATTAGGATCAATTAAATCAGTTGTGGAAGATTCAAAAATACCTCCATCAGTTGATGATAAAGAATTAGACGCATCAATCGGTGGGAAGTTTATTGAAGATTTAGATTTTCCAGTTTCACTATGACGATAATCACTTACACTAATTGAATGCGGCTTTGCATAATTTAAAGTCATGTCAGAAGTATTACCATTAGCAATAGAGCTTGTCGGATACAAAGGGTATAACCATTCAGCATCCCAACTGTTATCCTTAAATAGATGTACCAGTTCAATTATCACCTTGCCTTCTTTATATCGTTGACTAGGTTCAAAAGCACGTTCATACTTCCAACCTAGTGCTGTATCACAGCATGCACAAAATATATCAGCTACAAAATGCAACCCGGTCAGAAGAACACGTTGTTTAGCTTCAGCGCAACGAACATTTACAGCCTAAGGAATAAAAAGGCAAAATGCATGTAATAAACTTCGTTAATTTACTTTACATAATTAGCGTCGCCCACCGATTTTCGCATAAAGTATAAGAAAGAGGGTAAGATAATTTATGCCCTAGATTGAATGATAGTTTTAATAATAACCTTGTTGAAACCCTACATCACCTTCAACATTTCCCAAGGAAATCCTATATTAAAGACTTAGCATCACCAAAAACCTCAGTAATTTTCTACTTGTTTGACCGCGCAGCAAACATTATGGGCTATTATTTTACAAATAAAAATTTAAACATCTCTAATGTTGCCTGAATTTCAAAGATGTAAAAGTCAAGACCTTGACTTTTTACTTAAAAAGGCAGTAGTCACACTCATTACTACTTAATAATACTGAAATTTTTCCCATCTTTGTACTTTAGTTATGACTGTACTTCCCTGAACCTCATATATACCAATACTCTGGTCCCGACAGAAATTCAGTACCCTCTATCAAAAATTACTGTTATAATTCTACCTATGTTGAGTGTTTAGTCAGTTAAAAATCGGAATAAAAATGAACACATAAAACGAATATTTATTCGGTGTTCACATAATAGTTTTAAGTACACCCAAATGCCCTGGTACGGCCGAGAGTGGGGAGAGTCCGCTCTCCCTCTCGAAATGCTCTCACATGGCCATGCGTATATAGCCTCTGCCAGGGAAGTCCTACTCACTGCCTTCTCGTGGCGGGGGTGTTGTTTACGAAAATGAGAGGACGAAAAGCGAATGTCTGGCGCTTTAACCGGACCCCAAACCAATGGTGCACATGGGCTCCAGTATCCTGCGGGAACAAATGGCGTATGAACCAATCGTTGGTCACCGGCTACCATGGAACTGCATCTCCTTACGATGCTCCACTGCCTTGTGGGTCAGACGTTCAGGTCGAAGGCTCGGGGTGTGGCTTGCTAAGAAAACCACCTGCTTCGGTTTGGGCACCCGGGCAGTATCACAGCCCTCACACATATCAAATGAGATTTGTGTGGCGCCTATGTATTTGGTGCCTTCTTGTACCAATATTTGTGTTCAAATAAATAAATAAATAAATAAATAAATAAATAAATAAATAATAGTTTTAAGTCGACTATTACAAATAAAATTGAAACAAATAGGAAAACCATCCTCCGCTGGGTAATATAACAGTCACATTGAAATAATTTACCTTACTTTTAAAGTCTTATTCCTAAATATAGTGTTATATTTGCTTTGGCTACATCACAGTCAAATCTAGAATACTATGTACTAATTAAATGCTATGAACTGTTTGTTACAATTATGTAGAGACAAATTACACTATTAAATATTTGAAGGCATCAAATGAAGTAAAAGTACTGGACATGATTTCATGGTGCCAAGGGTCATAATTAAGAGACAATGAAACCAAGTTTATAGCTTGGCATAGAAATGTAAGCAGTGACACCACACAAGTAAAGTGGTGACCCTGAGGTTGAGGCGCTTGAATTTTTGTCAACAAGTTGCAAGTTTACATCGTGACTCGTCTAATTTGGTTTGGGTAGCTTGGTAGCATAGCTAGCCCTTGGATTTAATGTTATATGAAGCCAAGTACATGAATTCGTACTTGGTGAGCAAGTCAGTTCATTTTCTGACCCTAACACTCTTGGAATAACTATCGCTGAATGAGGCACACACTATGGCCGAAACAACAGATGGAAAAAAAGGAATTTGAGAAGGTAAGATAAACACTGATCGATGATACGCCTTTTGTAACTATAATCTGTAAAAGGCAGAAAATAGGAAAAAAGAGAGGTATACAATGTCATAATATTAAGGGCTTATTTTGACGACGGTAAGCTTTGTCAAGCATGTTCCTCAAGAGTTGAATCAAAATATTACCTTAACTATAATCGAAAGCAAGTAACACTTGATCTCCACTACTTTAAATAATTCTAAAGTGTAAATTAATATAATTAGTACTAGAATATGAAGAAACATTGTCAGTCAAAGAGAAGATTAAACACATACTGCATAGTTACGAGAAGTGTAAAAATTGAATGGTTATGAGAAACAAATAAAATGAATACAATTCCTTTCGTCAGTACTTGAATAAAACCAGGTTACGTTAAGTTCAGAGTGAGTCAATGATAAACATTAAAAAAACAGACATCCGCGATAATGGCTATGAACCCAGAAATAATTACATTATTACCAAGTGTAATTAATATGAAGTTGTAAACCTAAACTATCGATTACATGACAAGTAATCTCCAAACAAGAATCCTAATTAATATTAATAAATCCACAGTCTCATGGATGTCTTACCAAAGAGAAAAGTCTACACAAAACCACTCAAAGACTACACATCAATGAAATATAAACGACAAGGTTGACAATCTGCATAAATATAGTAGTGCAACTACAGTGCTTATTAAAAACATTTAAAACACCTGAGTGCTGGTAACAAATACGATCTAGCTAACTGAAAATCGGAAGCACGATAAACTTGTAGACATGGATATCATAGATTTACTTACGATTCAAATTAATCCCACTACTGAAATGAATTTGTGGTTAAGGTGTTCGGGTTTCCTTCAGTGGGTTACCAATTTGCATTTCGTATCCCCTAGTTCAGCTTACGCAACTGAATACTATTACTAAATTTTATGGTAAGGTAAAGTTAACGAACGATTTCAACGCTTAAGCCAATTTAGACGAAACAATAAACAAAAACGTTGGCTGGGACTGACTAAACTGCAGTGCATCAGTATTTGGGCTCACAGCAGAGATCTAGAGCCAATTAGAGAACACGAAACGAAGGCTATAAATAAGCAAATTGAATCCCTCACTTAAGTATTAAATCGTTCAGACACCTATTGGTATGCAGAAACATTTTCCTACAAAAATGCGTCAACGGTGTTTCGAGAAATAAGAAGACGGCTGCTTACCTGGTTAAATAGATAAGCTCGACCTTGACTTCCCTGAAAAGATTTACTTATGAGGTCGTCATGACGAGCTAAATGTGCACGACAGTGAAGGCAGCTGTACGTCAAAGAATTCTTTTCAAATGGAAAATAAGCCTGAAACTTTCCTTTGACCATATCGGTGACAACAGTTTCGTCACATTATGGAAAAACAGGTTGAATGACACAAGAAAGCAGCTGGTTGGTCAACACGAATCAAAGAATTAACGGGAAAATGACGTTGAAATCTAAAATGCAATAAACAGACGTTACATGGAACAGAAAAATACGAACACGAAAGACGAAGAAAGGGAGGTTATAAACTTACAGGTTCGTATATATACGAATTATATAATTCGATGGGAGAGTAAAAGAATTAATGTTGGGTATGTTGACGACGAATAACCATATATATTATATGTTCGAAGCTATTCTCATAAGCAAGTTTATTTTTTCCTTTCAGTTAAGATAACTGATATGACTAGTTACTTTTCTACAGTTACCTACATATACCTAAGATAAATCGACTCCCATTTAAACTTGCGAACAAGTATGCATAAGCACAACTGAAGTATATAAACAACATAGTATCCAATATCTTGGCGGCAACCTAGTATAAACCAATTATTTTCTTTGCACACACTTATTGATGTTACCATAGAATTTCAAGCTCTATTTTTGCTTTCAGAAGAGGTAGTTTAGTTACACGTCTGATCTATTTGAAATGAATTCGATAGCTATTTGTGAGCTAGTAGTTGTATTGACTCTCAACCACACGATCCTTAGAGCCAAAAATACGATAATTGAGAAGATTCACAATCAAGCTTTAACTCTTGAACAAGATCACAGATGGTGAACGCATGAAGACCTAATCAGTATGGTATAGCTCGGCCAAGCATGAGTGGTCACTCTATGTAACTTATCTCTTTTTAGATCACATGTATCATTATATTATCGGATCAAATGTGTTCCTTAGAAGTGCTAAACATTGTTATGTTGACTGTCACAATAGGACGAGTCAGTGTACACAATGATGTAGCTTCCAAGTAAGATCTCATAAATAAGCCAGTCACATAGGAAATCCACGATCTTAGGACTTGGTCTATCACTGTCTTATAAGATAAAAATAATTATATTTGAGTGCTGAAAGGCAACAAAAAAACTTTTGCCAGAAGTAGGCCAACTAGTTACACAAACAACTAAAATATATGAAAATGAAGGAGAAAAACTGAATAAAGATAAGATGCTATGTGAGTAAAATCAGGCTAATGGTGATAATATTGATATAAAAGATATTAATAATAATAGATGTCAAGTTAATTTACGTCCTCTATCTTCATTCTTCCCTCATTCCATTCGTTTTGTGTATTGCCCTATACTACTTGTTAAGATATAGTAATTCGTCCCATTCCTAATATCTAACGAGCTGAACTATGAGGTAAATTCGTTGCCACTTAATATTCTTGGTTTATCATATTGCCCAATGAAAATCAGTTCATTTATCATTGTAATCATATCCCATACTTTTAATTTCAGTATAGCTGCTGAACGTGATATGTTTATCTACTCCCTTATCGAGAATTAAATACAATGAAGTTAACTATACCTAACTGCCAAAACAGAACTAACGAACACAAAATAACTCAGTGATTCGTTTCTCAACACCTATAGAAAGTTCACGTACTGATACAACAGTATTAGCACGATGTCAATTACCACTGCTCTGAGAGTAACAGTAAGAACACATGTCATTCATAATTTGTTAGGTATTCTTACTGACTCGAATAAGAGAGAATGATCTTTTGAGACTTTCCATAGAGTAATAAACCAGATGTTTCTTAATACATAGTGTAGCCTCACTTACCAGTACTTTTTACTCGTCCTTAGTTTTACAGTGAGTAGGTCTGAAGAGTACAGAGTCTACAGAGATCAATGTATTGCGTCATCTTCTTCCTAGGAGCTCATTGACCTCTTTAATCATTAAATGAAAACAACTTCTAAGCCTGTGTGGTACAACGTTATGTACATTTTAAATAAAATTGTGCTTCGTCAACGTTAATTAGCCAGTTTCTACTGCATCATACTCCTTTATGACTGAAAGGTTTTGTCACTGTCCACATGGGAGATGTTAAGCTTATTTAAAGACTATCATAGGATCTGAAGTTCAGTAAAAAAACCGCATGACAATTGTTGTCTATAAGCTGTAGAAAATTTTAGTTTCATCGGTAAACGCCAATTTTTGAAGACAAAACATTCGGTTCAAACGAGAACGAGTTATTCATACTAGACTTTGAAACATCCTCTCCCAGTTTCAGGTTATCCTCGCTGCACTGTCGTTGAGCTGTCATTCCAGTGAGAACAGTCTTCCTTTGCATTATATTGTAGGATTTTTAATATTCTGTAGTCACTAACCAATTTATTCACCCAACTGGACTAATATAATTAGTATATTGCGGTCGAACCTCTATGATGTTATTGCCGAATCTATGTTACTTTAGAACGAAGACACACCATCATTTATATCGGTTAGTCTTATCATGTCAGTCGGAGGGAATCTCTGTGAGAGCCTTTGAAGAATGCAACTCAACTTAATGGCACAATAATATATTTGATATACACATGGAAGAACTACAATGACTGTGTCTTCACCAATGAGTCATACAGTTTCAATTAAGATCCCACGTCAGCCTTTCGGCTTTTTCTATCTTTCATCTGCTATTCATTTTGAGCGATGGCAAAGTGACCTTGATAGTGTCTACCTACTTAATAGAGCTAAATGAGGGTTACAAACCAATTCAAACATTAAGAATTATGATTCACAGTTGATGGTTAGAGTTAGGAATTAGATCTACTGTTTTTCATTACGAACCGACATCAGCTAAAATACCAAATGGGTGGGTAAGTTTCGCGCCAAAATCCAGGCCTTGCTATCCTAAATTTTGTCGGTTCGTCCATAAATTATAGTCTCGCCAAAATTTAAGTAGAAACAAACGATAAAATTCAATTAACATAAGAGGAGAAATATCGCCACATGTCAAGAATTAATATTATATTTATCTAAAACCATGTGCCAATCTAAGTTAGACAACCATTAAAAACATGAAAGCACTGTAAAATACTGAAGTGTTCCATACTGGGGTGGGACGACCGTCCGGTGCTTCACGGTTCTCAGTTGTAGTCCAACTTAGATCGGTTCACGACTTCAATGAATTCTAACCATCTCTGCAACCCCATATTAACAATATCATACCCAAAGTAAAAGAGCAAGTTTTTTCACTTTGCTTTAAAAACGGATGACCAAACATAAAATAATAGGTATACAAGAAATCCAACTAATTATTGACTGTCTTAAAATAAAGATGGAGCAAGACTCAATATTAATAACAGAGAACATGGGAAATTAGTTCACATGGTCACAACCAAATTACAGTAATCTAATATGAAGACCGCTAAGAGATAATGTTAAGTAAAACGAATATGAAACATTTAATAAAAGACTCAGCGACGTAAGAAAGTTTGTTACGTTTCAGAATTTGTAAGCAATACAAAGAAAATAATTGCAAGTAAACCAAAAACGCAACAAACGTGTGAATATACTGACAACAATAAAAGAAACGATACATATATAGGAAAAATGAGTGAATGGTCAGAATGAAAAGCACTTATGGAAAGATTTTTTCACATATTCGCACAGGGACCTGACAAATTAGATTAAGAAGGTGATTACTGTTTCCATCGTGATTATTTAGGCCATTTGTGACATACACAAAATTAAACAAATTTTGTAGATGCTTTAGTGATTTAAAGAATAGAATACTAGTAAGATTAACCAGGAGGAGTATTCTGAAGGTCAGTGATCAAAAGAAATGAAAAGCGGGCTTTGTTGGAAACTATTCCATATTCATCAGGTTTTAAACTAAAACATTGGAAGCAACTTTGGAATACTGTTAACTATTTACACAAGAAGGGAAGTCGATAAGACTCAGAAAAACATCAAGTACACCAAGTAACAGTGTCAAAAAAAGACTAAATTCTGATGACATTCTGACAGGTATAAGTTAATGCGTTTTCCACGTCGAGTGGTTATGGTGCATATAGTACATTAGCTCAGCAAAATACTGCCCTAAAAATCTTCGAACTTAAAGCATCAATAGTGCATTGGTAAATAGTTAGAAAAAATTTCATAAGATTTGATATCAATTTTCTAGGCCCAGTAGTGGGTCCAATTGAAATCACTAATCATGCTGTTTTTTTAAAATAAAATCCACAGCTTCATTGAACTGACACCACAGTTATTTTTGATCATCTGCAATCAGCTGTTAAGCACCATAACGTACAATTATGTACAGAACATTTGTATAGATACTATAGGCATATTTTCACTAATACCAAACTAAAGCTGTTGTAAATGAAATTTATCCACTATAATAATAATAATAATAATAATAATAATAATAATAATAATTTTACATATCACCATTCTGTTAGAAAGCAGGACCTGACCAAATATAAAGAACTATCTTACAGTTCACTTGTGGTTTAATACAACTGAATATCCTAATGTTGTGATTACAATCTATGGGAATTATTTGAGAAGATATATATTGTAAAAATAACTCAGGTTATAAATGTAAGCGAATTTAGTATCAAATGTCTAATTTTATCCTCAAGATTAATGTATTTCATAGCAGTAATAATGCTTGGTCTGATTCAAGAACGAGTTCAATATATAATCTAGTTTATTGAGGTGAAAACAATGCAGGTTTATTAAAGGGACATTTTCTATTAAACAAAAGTGTTCAATCTATTTTACTACTTTATCTTATACACGCGAGGTCCTGGGTTCAAGTCCCTTGTGCGTGGTCATAGATGCGCACCTCTGAGGAGTCCCATATTAGAACGAAATGGCCGTCCCAGTACTTTCGGGTTTTCAATGGTGGTCAGTTTAGATCGATTCATGAATTTAAATATTATTATATAATTCCCTTTAGAAGGAATCAGCTAGAATCTCTCATTTGACAGTTCCTACCATATTTATTGGGATATTCATATTTGTCGAACCTGGAATGGTAGTGTCCTGAATCTATGTACCCTATACCATTATAGTATAATATGGATAAGTAGAGAACAAAACAATAAATGGAAAAATTAGCGATAAAACCTGTTGAAAGTTGAATAAAACTCATGCAGAAATAAAATTTATGACATCACCACTCTTATAAAACTTATTACATGTGACATTTCTAGGCACTGACTTTGTTTATGCTGAAAGCTTTAATCAAAACATTTTCAGTTATTCACGAATTCATGATCACTTAACTCATAGATCAAAGTCATAACTTTACATGCTGCTATAATCTTTATTTCAGGCAATTGTCACTCCGTTCAACAGTAAGTCCCAAGGTAAATTGTCGTTTACAATACTTGATAGATTCTATCTCTTATCAGTCGATGAGAATTTTCAATCAGAACCAGACAATTTAATTATTTTCCTTAAATTTTACAATGAATAATTTCAGTATCAAGTCAACAAATCCATCACAAGTCAATTA